GGAGGTGGGGGGGGGTGGGGGGGGGGGGGGGGGGCTGCGGTTTTAAGCACTTTAAAGTTTGGATGCTTGAAATTAGTGCCCTTTGCATTCTTCAAATTGAGTCCGCAGTCAATAAATATAAAGCACCTGAGATTACACTTAAAAACTGCAGCGCAGTGAATAAATGTGATGACTTCATTTTCTGGGATCAAAAGGGAGATTGGCACAGGGGACAGGTTGATTTGTGAGAAGTTGAAAACCACTTGTAGAGGCAGGCAGAATGGAATTTATGCTTGCAGGTCTTGCAAGCAAGGCGAGGCAAGCTATGGTTGGCAGTGTGGATGACACTATAACAGATAGGGCACTCTTCAACACCTTCAAATTCCTTGTCAAAATTGCTCTTCCATATCCGTATTGCTTCAGCTAAGGCTCCATTCTGTACCATTCACACACATCATCAACCTCCAGATTTCAAAACAGAAATGTTCAAAGTAAAAAACATGGAAACAATGCTGAATATTTCTTGGCATATTGGAGGACCATGAAGTTCATTCTAATCAATGTTTGCAGTCAGTTCAAAATTTTCATGGGTGTGAATAAAAAAAACGAAATCAGACATGTTCAACACATACTCCACCACCAAAAAGATCTTGCACTTGCAATTTTCCCGCAGATTAATACAAATTGAATACTATTTTTAAATGATATACAAGTGGTCCACTCTAAAAAGATTAAGCATTTAGATAAAGTTGTTCAAAATGGTATTAGAACAAAAAAAAAAAAAGAAGTTCAAAGAAATAATTCAATCCCTTTAAAGCTCAAACAAGCAATCAGATTCCAGGATTGGTGTTATCCAATGAGCAACTATCTTGAGCTGGCATGTCAGGTGTAAATCCCACATTGATTAGATATGAAACACTACCCAAACATATAAGAGATTAAACTACTCGTAACCAAGTCGACCTTTTAAGATGAAAATTGAAGTCATATACGTTACTATGGCATGCAAAGGTCCTGAATTAATTCTGACTACCACCCATTTATTGAAATTGTGCATGTTTCAAGCTTTGACGGAAAAAATGAGCCCACCATACATGAGGGTACATGTTAAAGACTTTAAATGATATACAATAGCCTTCTCTAATAGCTTAAGCTTTAGATCAAGAATCTATTTCTTTTTAAGGGCTGAAAATCACTTATTTTGGCTTTTTAACCCCCTATTATATGGTGGTTCGACAATACAACACCATCGTTTACTTCAAAATGATTTTATATCATTTTTCAAGAACTAACCCACTTAATGGGGGTCTATGGACTTCACATCTATGTCGTAAAACCTCAATTCACTTTAATTTAATGAGGGGTACAATAGAAAATTTGATATAGACCGTATGGTGGGTGGGGGAATGGGAATCTCAGATGATCAATCAGGGATGGAGGACAAGAACCAGATAAATCAACAAATATCAAAGTTGATCTGTGATGCCCACATACAACAAGAGTAAAACATAACCAATTGATCATAAATTCTTGAATTGCATTAGTCTTACAGTGGGCAAACACTGTGCATAAAGTAGCACCCGAGCAGCAAGAGTTTGTCAGTTATACCTGATTACAAACAAACGACTTCATTGACATCAACCACTTTCTCTGCTTCAACTCGCTAATTCCAAGGCTCCTGGTACAATCTACATCTACAGGTCTCAGAGGGTAAGATGGAGGAAGACGAATTACTAGATCTATTCCCGTTTCATCCTTCGAATAGGTGGCCACAACCTCATTAGCTGATTTTCTCACACTAATTGAGAAATTTTCATCAGCAAAACTGGCTTTCTTGATCTGCATAGAGAAAAATAAGCTTCAGTTTTATGCTGTGATCACATCAAGTATCCTTATTGCAATATAAACTTAACGGACATTGAAGCATTGAAACAAACATCTCGTATCTTACATGATATTTAAGGTTCACAATATCTCTAGAAGGCTTGGAATCTAGCTATTTCTAGAGAGAGGATACCCAATGCAGAATGCTCAAGACACTATGAGATGATGGGGATTATATTCATGAAGCTTACCCTTGCAAGCAGGGAGGCTGTTTCCATGACATACAGATTTTTTTACGGAGTCAAAAAACAAGTCAACTGGAATTAAACTGTAATCAACAGCAAACAGGAATCATGTCACACACACCTGAGATAATTCATTTGTAACAAGTGTTGGGCTACACCATGCTTTCGTGAAAGATTCAACAGAAGATGAAGTAGAACGATTTCGTATGTCACTAAACCATCCACGAACATAGGCAGGAAGAATATGAAGCATCAAACCAAATATTCCACCAGCAAGTGAGGCCATTTTCTCTATTCCAACAGGCCAAAGTGACTCTATGCAAAACAATACTGATCTGTCCCTGATGGCACGTGTTGCAGCTGTGGCTGCTTCGGATACTGTTGCTGGAAGTTCTACATCTTTCCTTCTTGAGCCTGGCACCACGTACAATTCCAATTGAATGTGTTGGAGAAGACAATCCAGTATTACTGAATTGATAGAGTCTTGCACATACTGAACCATTCTTTCTCTTTCAGACGAAGTTGATGGCAAGGATCCTAGATGTGACAGAAACAAAGACCAAGCAAGAAATATGTTCACCTGTAAGTTTAACAGAGGCAACACAGCCTATGAGGTAATGTTACATATAATTTAACTAAGCAATCAACATCTCTCTTATGCAATGTTACCTACTCCTAGAGTAACCAAAACATTAAGACATCACAAAGGAGCAAAGGGCGGAAAGTTAATGCTCACGGTTACATATTACTTACCCGCTCATTTGCCACTAAATCCATTTCAAAGACCTCCTCTGGAAACTTTTCAAGCATGTGAGAAATTTCTTCCCTCAAACGAACATTTCCTTCAGAAGAAATATCAGGATTGTGAGGACCCTCGTTGTTAGACGTATCACCCTTCACCAAACTAGCAGCATCACATTTAAAAGCTGAGTGCATCACAGGTTCGGTTGAAATAATAACAAACGCCGCAAACTGCACAGGAGGAAGTGGTTTGCAAGAAAAGAGTAAAGCATACAAAGAGCTTATTGGCCCTTTACTTAGACCCCAAATCTCTATCGATTTCAAAGCTTTGTCTCTTGCATGTGAACTAGACTCGATGGCTCTTGAAGCTACTAACTCCCAAAAGTGAGGATGATCCAGGCGAGATGACGCAACAACAGACGAAGCCTCTTGGCAATACGAATTTGCAATGGCCTCAGCAACGCCGGTACTGAAAAATAAACGAAGAATACCTTCTAGAATTCGATCCTTGATGACCTCCCACCTCTCAATCCTCAAAGGGTTTGAATTTTCAGGATACTCTTTCTTTTGGAGTCCCATGAGGCCACAAAACAGAGAGAAGGCAAGAAGTGCATTTGTTGCGAGTTTTATGGGAAAAGGGTCTATGGTTGAAACAGCAATCTTGAGCTTCTTTAGAGTATCTGTCATATCATTGGAACTAGAACAGTTTGACACAGCATCATTCACATTTTCAGCAACTTCCTCCATCATAACAACAGTTGACTCAATCCAAAATCTTGACCGAGTTAGAACAAAATTCCAATCATCTTCATTGAATTCCTCCCAGCAATAAGCAACTGAAACAACCACTAACTGTGACAACAACCTCTGAACCAATGGCAGCTTGTTTACTACAGCTGATGCACCAGCATGCTGTCTCTGCTTCTCAAATAACTTGTAAAGAAGTTCTTTCTCCACAGGACTGATATATCTCTCTTGTTTTAACCCCTGCAATTGTTCAGTTGCTTTAATTGGGAAGCAAGATATAACCAACTGAAAGAAATCCTCCATATCTGGTAGAAAAAGTCAAATTGTTAATATAGCAAAGCCAGAATGTCGGATAACAAGAATGAACTGCATCAACACCATGGTGGCACATTATGAGATTTTTGCCATTAGATACCCAAAAAATAGATATATGCCTTAGCTTCGAGATATAAAGCCGTGGAAAACTACAATTCATTTCCCTTTATGACTACTACTATATAATCATATATTTATGAGGATAATTTAATTATAAGTGCCCAGTACATGAATGAAAACTAATTGTAGCTTGCATTTACCTTCTCCAGTTTGCCATGTATTCAATGGAGGGAAAGATACAGTTCTCTCAAGCCAGTCTACTACTGATTCGTGAAATTTGCTTTGGCTGTAATAATCACACTCGTCACTCACACTGGAGTCTACCAATCTGATGCTTAAGGGTCTTATAAGTATGCTCATAACAGAAGAAAGAATCCTCAAGCAATTCAAGTTCGTTGTATCACCAATGTAGAGCTTATCTAGAAGTGCATTAAAGAGCGATACAGCTTTGCCCTTCCCCCATATATCATCTTGAAAAAAAGTCAACAATAATGATACAAGAGCTCTCAAAAAGGGTTCCTCAATGCCCTGTACCTCATCGTATGAAGCAGGCCATAAGGGACTTAACCCAGTACCAGCTCCCTGGACAAGAGCACCATCAAGCAGAATGCTGACGATGGAATCCAGAAGGCAGTTTTCAGAAGAATGCTTCACATATTCACTTAGAGAAGGCAGAAAAGAGTGCAAAGCACTACCACCAAGCCATTTCCATGTACATAAAATTTCAGCAGCAAGCCAGGCTCGAGAAGAATACAGATTATTTGTTGGTAGGTCTCTAATAGGCTCCCCAGTTAAAGATGGAGAGGTAGCAGCAGCAATAACTCGTGCAAATCCAATTCTGGATATTAGTTTGTCAAGTAAAGCAACAAACAAGGTGTTTTTGGATGCCTGCAAATAAATTGTATAGGTAAAACTTAGCTTCTGTCAGTTGTACCCATGTTATATAATATATACAAGTACCGATAAACAGCTTTATTACATGTTCGGGAGTGCTTAATTTACTTGAAGTTGTGTTATGAAGAAACTGAGACAGCAAGTTCTGGTTGAAGACTTCACCGTGAATATACTAAGCCCTTGTTTGAGCCCCATTTTGGGGAATAGAATGAATTTTTGAATAGTGAATTGATGTGAAATGTGTAGTTAAAAAATAAGAAAAAAGTTTTAGATTTGTATGTAATATTATTTTATTGAAAATGTGTGGTGGAAATGATGTCAAAACACTGTTGAAAAATGTATTTTTACCAAATAATGGGGATCAAACAAGGGCTAAATAAGATATATCAGCAATATTATGGTTGATTTTGATTTGATTAAGAGAGATCACGTTGCTAAATAAAAGATCGGATAGGGTACACAGCATGAACTCAAGGTAAAGAAGAATGTGATTCTCATGCCCCAAGACTGTTCGTGTCAGATCATCAGTCAGCCAATTAAGGGCATATCTCAAGACATCACCCACAAGGACTCAAGGATTTCAGTTTTCAGTGGAAGCTTCATTTTTTGACATAGATGAGGATGGCATATAATCAGTTATCCCAAAATAAAGCTCGAAAACATAATGACATAGGAAAAGAGAAGTTCTGCAACATATAAAGGATTTGCCAAAGCAAGTACAGACAGACAAAAAAAGACCACTGCAATGTGTTGATTGAGTGGAATCAAATTAAGCCCTTTGTTTGTCTACCATTAAAATAGGAAAATGATTTTTGGAATAGTGAATTTTTGGAGAATGTGTGGTTCAAAATTAAGAAGAAATTTTGGGTTTACGTGTAAAATATTTTATTATGAAAATGTGTGGTTGAAAATGAGTTCAAAAATAAAGAACTTTGAAATAATGGTAGACAAACAGAGGCTAAGAAACGTCTCTTAGCCCTTTCTCACTCGAAAAATAAATAAATCAAAACAAAATGCTAGAAAAAATAACAATAACACTAGTAAAACTCACATAGAGAGGACCATTTTCAGCTTTGAAGCTGGATCCTAAACGATTATCTGGCATGATCCACAAAGGCCACCAATCATTCTTTGTCAGTAATTGCTCCAACAACTGCTGTTCCTCGAATTGGTCTTTACAGAAATATTCAAAAATGTCACCCATCCATTGGCAGCATAAAGATATGATTCTCTCATAATCTAATTTAGTTTCCATAAATATAATGCATTTTATTGACTCAACCAAAACAGTTCCCAGGCTGTTTCGATTATTTATGCTGAGACTTTCAAAGAACTGATTATATATCTTGCTACGAAAAATATGGATAGCCTGACAGAATGTCAATCTGGCCTCAATTTCTCCCATCTGGTTCTCATCCTTGGTAACACTTAACACGTTAAATTCCCAGTCAATGATAAATATTGCAGCTAATATACCTGAAACTAACTCGGTTTCATCATTCATAGTCTTCAGACAAAAGAAACTACCATTTAGAATATCCAGGGCAAAATGAGCCATCTCAAGCACATTAGTAGAAGATTCAAATCCCCGGCAAGAATAATTTCCCCTCTTACTTAATAAAGAACATATATTCTTTACCCAGATGAAACTAGAATCCAGCATGAAAGTCATCAGAATTCTAAATATTTCTTCATATATAAGAACCGATGTGTTTCTTGATAAGAAGGAAACTTTATCATCTTCTACTCCACCACCAAGAACAGCACTGCCACATAAGATGAAACGAAGAAAGAAGATAAGAGTTTTACCCATACACACAAGAAAATATATGCACACTACTAGAAGAATGAAATGCTCAATTACAGGATAGAGTATTTAATTTAGAGATGAATGAGAGAGATGCACAGATCACTTGGATAATCTCCATTGAATAAAGCATTTGGATAGTTTACCACCAAAAATTAACAACAAATTGATCCGTGGATTCATATTTCTGTTCTATGGGAAGCAAGTTACCAGTCCAAAGAAGAAAAATGAAGAATCGGTCAATTTATATCAAAAAAATAAATCAAACAGAACGAAATTGAAGCCACAGAATACTGAAAGGGTAAAGACACTATTTTAAAACGAAACTAAGGTGCTTGAGTTGAGCTTTAATATGGAGCTTGTGTAACATAACCTTCTCCAAAGTCTTCATATGTTCAAGTTTTAAAATTGACTAATGATTAGAGACTTCAAGATGGACCTTATCGTGTTCCAATCTAAAGGGAAACCTTTTTAAATTACTGTGCGATTCCAAAATGGCATGATAATTCTACAGATATTGACAGGTCAGAGACCATGCCAAGAAGTGAAGGTCGCAGGGATAATTCTCCAAACCATGCATGATAATCAGAAAGATTGACTTACTAAAACGCCAACAGATATAAAGCAATAGAACATACAAAGGGATTAAATAGAGCAAATCCCATTTTAGAGAAATGAGATGCAGTATGCATTGAATAGTTATAAATGACCTGCAAATATTTCAAGATATCACTATTTACGTACCATAAAAAGTGAGCATCAGACTTCCTAAATGGAGGAAAAGAATGGATGATAGAGAGAGCAGCTGAATCTAGAAGCTCATGATGCCATTCGTATGAGCAGGATCCTTCCAGATGAGCATGCTTTCTAGTTCTCTCCCTAACCTTCTCTATCAACATAGCCAAGATAGATATTTTGTTGTTGTCCACAGTTCCAGGAGTAACACCCACTTGTTCTGAATTTATTAAATACATAATGATGGCATTCCACTGCTCTGAGAAGCACTCTTCATCAAGTAATGCCAGCAAGAGGTCTAACCGAGATGCATTAGGACCAACTTCTCTCAAGCACGAGGGAATAATCCTCTCGTTGAAATATTGAAAAAATTCTCGAGTCCCCAAATCAGCAGATATAAGACCTTGAATAATCTTCTGAGGCCCAAATACCGAAACAGCAACCACGATAAGTCTCACTGAATCTGGTGAGTCCTGGTGTAAACGGAACAAAAATAATTATGAAAGGATGTAATGATAGCAAACTATAACATCCGTGACATAAGACCGAAGAAAATGACTTAATGATACACTAAGTGGAGGAGAAAAAGAGATCCCTCTTTATTTTTTTCTTTTTTGAGATGAAAGCAACAAATAGTTTCACAACTGCACAGCTCTATCACATTATTTAAATGAAACAGCAAAAGGCTAGCAAAACATTGTGGATAACAGCAAAAGAATAGTAAACCATTGTGGATATCATTGACAACTGCTCAAGATACAGGCAATAATAAGAAGGGCTCCTTGTTTCAGATATATGGTACAGCTAATCATGACAAAACAATATAAATTTTGGACGAAAAAACTAGAGAAAATTTTAATCAGTCTAATATTTTTTTTAATTTATGTATGAATTAATTCCAGTAGCAAAACTAACTTGAGATGACACAAAAGCAATATCAGACAGCAAATTAAGATTAGTAGAACAAAATTAACATAGCACTAAGGAATTCATACTATTTTACTTCTTTGATTTGTAGGAAAGGAAGATCTAGTTTAATTCCACACTGAAATGGACCACTATTGATGACATTTACTGGTAAATCTACTCAGTTTATTCACAGAGAGATTTGCTATGCCCGCCAAGAGGGTCATTTCAAATTTAAAAGAAATTATGCATTCGAGCAACAATGATAGCAGAATAAGTCATTTTCTGAAAGGAAAAAAATACCACGCTCAAGGGTCGATGGCACTTCAAATGGACAGACCACATCAAGTGCAGACTTGGAATTAAGAATTAAGCATCCAGTTAGATCATTCTCATGCATATGAAAGCCACAAGTCTTCAGTTTACTCTTTTAAGTATGAATTCTTTCTTCAAGAAAGCCATGTTTCTACATAAACTAATTCTATGTCGTAGCAAATTTAAAAACAGAAAGCAAACTGATATGAATTGCATGGTTTATCATGAATGTTCTTTTGCCCTGTGCTATAGTTTAACTAAAAAATCTTGAATTTGATAGTAAACTACGACACAGGACATGTAACAATCCAAATGGATTCTTAACGCATAAAAAGTCCATGAACCAGATGAACACAAACTAGATAATCGTAAAAAAAAACTAAAGTGTCAACCAAAAGTCATATACTATAGAAGATCTTTTCACATTCACATGGTCCTTTAAATTAAGTAGGCAATATCAACTCATGGAAATCCCTGTGCCTGCACAATCTCATATTGTGAGTAGACAAGTAACAATGGAATTGATTAGTAAAAAAATCATTAAAAAGTTTGAGCCAACGCACATAAAAGATATTTACTTACAATCATAAACCTCGACAACCAAAACAGAAAAATTTCTGTAGCTCATCTGCACTCTTTACATCATTCCATAAATAAAAACAGAATAAACACCCGATAAATAGTTATAACCCCAATAGCATTTTATTGTAGATGTGGATCATGATGATAATTCAGTTTTTGAACAAATGTTAGACTCAGATGTTCTCAAGCAATCCTAGGGATCCATTTAATGAAGGATCCCAATACTTGAACAGGAAAACTAGAACTCTTAACATTATTAACATAACCAAATAACCTCACGTTGAAACTCCTAGCTATTGTGCAAAGTATATGTTAGAGTAAGCCAAATGTTAACGCCTAAATCATTTTTACTAACCATCGTAAGAGCTTCAAAGTTGCATTCTTAACTTACAGATGTTTCAATGACTGGGAAAGACTCTTTCAACGTGGGCCCCAATAAATTAACCAAGGGCCATGATTCACCCTTCTGTACAGCATGTTCGTCCAGTAAAATTAAAAATTTGACAGCCCATTCTACATTTTGAGAAGAGCGCTCTGTTTGCCGAAATAGATCCAGACAATTCCCTTGAAATGTTGAACAGAAAACCAAAAGCAGATCATGTTTCAGGCAATGGATCCCTGAAAGGATTCTGATGATGCATTTCCCAAGATTTTCCTCATAATCTGCTGGATATTTGACATTAAATGTTTCCCTTGACTCCTTATCAACAGGTTCCGTACTACACTTGGATGAAGAGATAGTAGTTTCAGAGAAGGATGTGTCCTGATATTTAGAGCTGGCTGCCAGAAGGTACTCATGCCACAGAAGACCTATTACTACCGTATCAACAAGAGTACGCTGGAAGCTGTAAATGGCTTCTACTCCATCACAATATCTGATACCAAAGAGGAGCAAAAGTAGCCATTATAATAACCAAAACTAAAATAAGATTTAAGCAAAAACAGTAACCACAATAAATGTATGTATGCTTTTGTGTGTGTGTGTGTGTCAGTCTGTGTAAAGTACTCAAATTGCCATCTAACTCAAGGAACTCATACCTAGAAGCATTTCTTAAAGTCCAAAGGAAACATTCTTCCAAGCCCACGAAAAATGCCAGTTGATCCCCGTTAGAAAAGTAAGACAACTTTCTCCCTGCCCACAAATTCTGGAAAAATTGCAGGATAAATTTCTCTCCTACAACTGCTTTTGGAGGAATTGTGTCTAAAAATAAAACTAGAGCTGGGTAAGACACTTGCTGAGATCCAAAACATCCATTCTTCAGAAAATCCCATAACCGACTTAGAATAATTTTTTGAACATTCAAGGTAGTCCAACTGTCTGGATATGTTCTACTAAAGATAAGCACTGTTTGCCACATTGATGAATGGCATGCTGGATTCCTTTCCTGGAAAGCACCAAGTATAGTCACAGCTAGACTTTTCATATCACCTTTATTTACAACATCAGGTATGTTTTTTATATAACTCCTCAGCACTGAATATGTAGCTGAACGGATTGCTGGGCTTTGAGACTTTAGAAAGTCTAGAAAATATTTATGAGCGGAGAACAACTTCTCTGCACTAGAAACAGCCACATTCATAGCCCTGGCTTTCACAGCATGCTTTGATTCACCTATCATGTTGTCCAAATCAGACCTTTCAAATTGCCCAGATACAAGAACATCAAGCAGTGTTGCCAATGCCAGTAATGATGAGGAAACTACCTGAAACCAATTAGAAATTATATAAAAGCACTATAACACAGGAAGAGGATAAGATAACCTCATAGGGAATTAAGGAAATTATAAGACAACAGATCTGAAGAAAACGTGTTTAAACATACGGATTTTAATTTGAGGGTAGGGATTTTTGGAATCATAAAACAAGAAAATTAATACATTATCAAGCATAAAACATTTCAAAGGGTGAAAAGAAAGGGCATGTATGAAACCATAACATTGATTGCTTCACTAAATTTTCACAGCCATATCCATTAGAGAAATTCAATGATCATGCAAAAATTCTGGTCACTTGTTCCTGTTTATCCATCTTGTATAAAAGTCTGGCATATAATACACAACAAAAGAATAATTCAAACAATATAATAATTGGATAATTACACCCTCAACAATCACCTGTTGATGCATCTCTTCCAATTCATCAGATGCTATTGTTTTATCTGACAAACTTTGCGGGGTAAGCTTTAAATTTTCTTCTATATACAAAAATATCTCAGCTGCGTATAACATTAAGGCATCTAGCCTTTTCTCCTGAGCTGGAAACGCCGTCTGTGCCATAGCATTAAGATATAAAGTTAGATTAAAACTTCATAATTTTAAATGCCTATTTATGGTACAAATGAAACGTATAAAGTTTTTGATAACATACTGAAAAATGAAAAATGATACAATTAATATCAATAACATTAATTGAAAGGAAAAACAAAGGTCATAACATATAACACATGCAATAAACCGTGATATTGAGACACCATGCAATACTGCTGTCTAAGCCGAAATAAAGGTAAAAGAATAACAAGTTATCAGCTTCCAACTCAAAAGTGAAGATGATAGAACAAATCTCTCCTCAGTGACTCAGTCCTCCCAACACTATTAATAGATCATTGCCAGAAAGGTATTCCCTGCAAACCCAGTCACCATAAATCACCTCAATGGATGATCTCCATCATTCATTCATTTCAGCAGGGAACTAAATCTGATTCTAAACATCTTTGGAGGGTGGTATATTCCAGGCACATGTGCTTGCAATAGTTACATACAAGTTTTTTATAATTCTCTATTTAATGACACTAGGAAATTCAAGAAGAGGTAAAGAAGCTATTAGATTTTATTTAATTTTAATATGTCAGATTCAAAGATTTTAAGTGATGGTATACTCATCTCCTACTCAAGTAGTTATTTCATCCTATTACATGAGATTATTCGATCTTTCGCTGCATCTTCCCCAGTTATTTCAAGGGAAAATCTGAGTTCTCAGTTTCATTCTGTTGGCAAGGCTATCATGTTTTTCAATAATGAGCTGTAGGGTTTACATAGAACAAAGAAGATAGAAATATGACTGGACCATCATTTTCATTTCTTTATGGAATGTTATCTGTATGGAAGTTCACCATCCAAGTATTTATAACAAGGTGCAGCACAAATCAAAAGCTATTCCTTTTCTTATGAGAAAGATCTTATTAATGTATCGCAAAGGAAATAACAAAGAATACAGAAACCATAGTGCAAATGCTATCATTATCCAAAGAAATAAAAGCAAACCTGAAATGATCTCTTTGCAGTTTGAGAAACTTCATAAACTGAATCGAACTGAGAAAACCACCATGGTCCTATCAAAGGCTTTAGATGTGGAGCCAAATCTCTCCTACAATAAGAAAAGAATAACAAATATGTAAGAAAATAACCATATGTACTATAAATATTTGCAATTCAAAATAGTGTAAAAAGAAGTGCTTCGCATTTACATATTTATCAATATACAGGTGAGTGTTTGTGTAACATACTCATCAAATTAAGTTGACAAAGACTAAATTTGGTTCAGTTAGATGAAAATGTAACCTATACCAACTTCCTAATAAAAATTTTAGCATCAGGTTGATCAAAATTTACATGAGAGAAAATGAAGCAGCAAAATGTGATGATATCTTTTTGTTAAAAAAATACTACCTCTATTTTAAAACAAATGGGTGACCAACTTTATTTCAACCATATGATATTTCGGGAAATTTTTCTACATTCATTTATTTAAGTTTTTAATTCCAGGAAGTTATAGGTTACAGGAATTGCTAATTGTTTGAATTTTAGCATTATGTAAAAGATGTTATCTACAAGTAGAGTTAAACGAAATTTCAATTGGAAAAGAATAAGTCAACATGACCACAAAAGTGAGGCAATAAAATTATTAATTTTAGAAATGATGAGCCTATATAAGCTTCAGAGTTCAGATTTGTAATTAAAAAAGAATTATTCTGCTCATGAACCATGAAGTGGAAGCAGGAGCTACAGAAAAGAATCAAACCTACTCATTTGCATATATGACACTTCTTGACATTCTGGGGAACTGGTACTCAAAAAAATAATAATAAAATAAAAATAAAAGACTGGTTGTAACTTTACCAACTCATGCTCCTGGCACATCCTGAAGAGTCTAAAGACTATATGATTTTAACATAAATAATTGTACATATACATCACAGGGATAGAAGGTTTAAAATGAAATAAGCACGAACCCCACGGCATCGACAAGATTAGTCATGGTGTCGTGAGTTGCTCGTCGAACTTCTCTATTGTAGTCCAGAAGCAGCTTCCTGTATTCGAAGGCCTTGCAGAGGCAAGGAAAATAAGCAGTGTAAAAATGTAAACCAAGATTAAAAAAAAAGTCACTCATCCATTGCCTAGGCACACTACTAAATACTTCTTGAATTAACAATCTCAAAGAAGATTCCATTACATTTACGTAGTTTAGTTCATTTTATCAATTAACAAGTGAAGGCATGAAGATAAGCTTACCCACTGAGGAATTATTGGTACTATTTCCTTTGCAGTTTTCTGTTTGAGATGTTGAGATAGCGATGTCAAAGCTTTGAGCTGTCAATGAAACAAGAGTGAGCAAGCTAGACAACATATAAAAATAGTAGTATCCTCAGTCCAACCATTTTGCAACTCAAATTAGAGGTTTACACCCTAGAATAATTCTATCCTACATCCTAAAGTTCTTAGATGTACTTAAACAAGTAAAAGCTTTCATGGAAGCTTTTTGATGTTTGTCGAGTAGAGTGATACAAAAAACAAAAGGAAAAGGGAAAAAAAACTATGGATATAAGTAAGTTTTCACCCAAAGTGTCTAAGCATTACAATTCATTAAGCATTCGACCAGCCACACATAGCAAAAAGGTGTAATAATTCAATACGGAAAAATCGATCACATGGCATATTGTACAAAGCATTACCTTGGTAGTAGGGTCCTTGCGAGAAAGTCGCTTCAAGTGTTGTGCCATTTCACCATCAAGATCGTTCTTTGCCACCATGTGGATGAAAATATTGATATTGAATAAATCATGATTACGGAGATAGGAAATAAATTACTCGCAATAGTTTCTTTTTTCCAGCAAAATAGAAATAAAATTTACCATAAAAGAGGAGGCTTCTGGTGTTGATGCGAGAGAAGAGTCGACTCTTGAGCTTCCAACATAGCCACCGAAACCTACGGCGGTAGCACCTGAAGGCACTAGCGAAGCAGCCAAACTGCCAAAAAATTATTCAAAATTTTCATCTTTATTGATTTAAATTTCAAAAAGTCCAGGAAAAAAAAAAGAATTTGAAGAAAAGAACCTGCTGCTAGAGGGGCGAGACTTGCTTCTTGCAGCTTCTCCCTTTGGTCTCCCCATTCTTCTTCTGCTTTGAATTAATGAATTTATCACGATTGATTTTTAACCAGATGATTTTGTGTATGTTTTGACCTTTGATTTTGTACTGTCGGCCGCTGCGATTTCCGGCACGAGTTCAGCGGCTGAGCGAGGATGACCAATGACTCAATGCGATGGTACTTATAATTATCTTACGAGATTGCCCTTGTCAGTTAAATGTTTGAGTGGCCACTAAACTTTTCATCATTTCACGTTTTACTCACTGTACTTTATGAAGCATCCCATTGACCACCAAATTTTAATTCGTCCAACTCCATTACTCATTGGATGAAATTTGTCGGTAGACTTGCTTACGTGGTGGATGAAAAGATGATGTGGCAAGTTAAATGTCTCCAAATATCCTGTCAATTTTTGACTCAGATCCAAGTCAACCAAAAGAAACATGCCTCTTCCTCAAACAAAATAGAAAACTAATTCAACTCTGTGCATAGAAATCAAATTCTCCCAAAATCGATCACCAAACCCTTAAGCGAATCAATCTATGTCGCCCTAAAATTTCAACCATCAGAACGCTGATTTCAATTGAATCATTTATTCATTTCAACAACGTTGGGGCCAAAAAACCTAAAATTTCAATTGTCTTCTTCTCCGACAACATTGGATGAGGTAGGTGACCTGTAGGTCAATGTGTATTTGGCTAGGCTACTTGCTTTGGTTTTACCCTGTGATTTTTGTTGAAGGGGGATTTGCTTTGGTTTTACTGTATGGTCAATTGTTGGGTTGCGTGCTCTAATTGTCATAGCATATCTAGGGAATTCTTTTCTTAAGCATTGAAAGCCCTAATTAATTAATTCAAGATGTTGTTTTTATCTATTTTTAAGATTGATAGTTGTTAATTAAGATATGTGAGTGAGTGTGTGTGAATTGTTCATCTATCGGGTTAGAATGTCTTTATTTGAGATTTTTAATGAATAGGGTCGATCCATATTGAGCCCCGAGATTGTTTTCTACAACAAACATTAGTTTTTTAAACATTAAAGTGGCAAATTCCTTGCTTATTTATGCTTGGTTTGCATTAAACTGTAATGTGTTGTTGCTGAAGTGAATATATGATAATATTAATTCACTCAAGTATACTAACTTATAGTTATCTTTATTTTATTGAAGGAGAAGTTTCTTAAAGTATGTCATATCCTCGAATAGACTCTTCAGGTTTCTCTTATTGTCCCTCGATTGGTAGCAATAGAATTGACCAGCTAAGAGGCGCGGGATAACTCTCATAATTTCTTCTTATAAAAGAGATCGTAAGAAGATTGAAATCTAAGTATCATTCTATATTGCATGCAAGGTAACGAAGCAACTCATTAAAGATTTGTTGTGGAATCATCTCTGATTTATAAGATAAGAGAATTTTGGATGTGCAAACCATATGTTGCAACGATTAATAGCTCATCTCTTTCATGCTTCATAAAGCCATCTAGTACACGTATGAAGGATTGGATTGTTTCTCAACTCCATTATCCCCAGGTGTATCTGAACAACTATTAGTTGCAAATGATCAAGGTGTAATATACAGTTAGTCATTTTTTGAGCATTTTATTGTATAAGTAGCTTAATTGGTAGTAAAATTTCATTGTATAAGTTTACTAGCGGATTCTATCCGATGAGTGATAGAGTAGGACGGATCAAAATTCAGTGGCCAATGGGACACTTCATAAAGTTCGGTGAGTAAGTTGTGACATGGTGAAAAGTTTAGTGGCCACTCAAACATTTAACTCTTGCCCTTGCTTGTAGAGCTGACCTTTTCAAGATTTTCGTGTTTCATATTTATTTATTTTTTCAAGAACTTATTTACTAGTTAGAATATTCACATTACAATTTTTATTTCTTGCACCATATTTTAATTACACTAAAAATCTTATTTTTTTTACTTATTTTCACTTATATCCCTAACAATTTTTCATACCATTCTCATCCTTAAAATTTTTATTAGTTAACATATTTTTTATTTGATAATAATTTTATGTCCAAAAGTCCATTAAATAGCATAAAATAATTTATTTTTCATCATATTTTAAAATATAAATAAAAAAAATTCCTTCACTTCAAAGCATGAAAACAAAATATTTTGATACAAATCATCATCAAAGATGAAAAGTATTAATTGATAGAAGGCTAAAAATAAGAATTCGATTGAAATTTTTTTTTTTTAAATAATTGTTACAACGATCAAAGATCGAGGACTTAATTGAAATTAAAATGCAATGTATGAAATAAAAATTGAGGTGATAATATAATTATCCTCGCAATGTTTTTGCAAGCACGATAGTAGTTTTAGTGACAATTAAAATTTTTAAGTAATATTAATGATCAACAAGGTTAAGTTGATGGATCGATTTTGATTGAGAGCAAAGATCGAGAGGATTTAGTTAACCTCCACACAATGTCCCTATTTGAGTTTCATATTTCAAAAATCATTTTTTTTTCAAACTTATCTTTAATTACACATTTTTCTAATAAAATAATTTTGCCAGTAAATTCAAATTTTTTTTCCCACTTTTGAACCACATGTTCTTAAAAAATAATAATAATAATCATTTTTTAAAAATTTTATTCTCAAAAAATGGGACTTAAATGGGGTACCATATATGCTGAAACATCGGATCAAACATCTCAAACCCTATGAGGATATGAACGGTAAACTTTTAAAGCATAATCATATAAACGAATGAAGCAAATCAATTAAAATGGATTGTTATTTGTTATAAATGAAAAGCGTGGAATAGGATACAAATATGTGTTACTCATTCACATCCAAAGTTTTCTCCCATCAAAAAATATTACAAGAAGAGCTAGAGCTAAACTGTGATCGGTACATCCAGGAAATATAGTGACTCGAAATCTGCTCCTTGGAACAAACATTTTCTTGATCCCCAGCTTATGCATTAGGCTAGTCTGCATCAAAATGGAAACACAGTTTTTAAATAAACCAAAATCCCAAACATTTGCTGATAATTGATTGTTCTCACGACTAAGTATAGTTTGAAAGAGTTAAGATTTGCAAATAGTACCTCGGCAACTATGGAATCCCCTTTGTAAATGGTGCAGGATCTCTTGAAAGGGGAACCTTTCATCTTGAGCTCAGTCTTTGAGACTTCATTATTTTCACCACTAAGTGATATTTCAAACTCAGTTCTTGTAAATTCATCTACTGTCCTCTCTACTTTGAATATCAACTCCTCGTCTCTGCTCTCTTTTCCCCTAAAACATTGCCATGAACCCTTCTACAAGACTCAATGAAAGAAAATGCACAATATTTTCAGAAATCTAGAGAGTAAAGGGATCATTTTCACACACGAACACCATTAAACAAGCTACAAATGCTCTTGATTAGTATAAATTATCTCATTTAGGGACTGTTTGGTAGTGCTTTAAAAGGCCTAATGCTGCTACTTGAACTACGAATGTGCTCTTGTACATGCTTGAACAAGTAGTAGAAGCAAAAGCAGAAGCTCAGACAAACGGCCCCCAGGCCCCTTCATAACACATGCTTCGAATTATCCCCTTTCTTTTGGGTTAGACCTTTATACATACGTACACCATAATTACTAATCATGTCAGGACCAGGTTAAAAATTTTAACAAGAATTTTTTACACTACAAGATCCACAGTAAAAATCAGTCATTATTTCCCTACTCGATGAATCGATTATCTTTACTTAATTCTAGCAATTACATTTCCTTGGCATTCATGAAACCCAAAATTGATCAAGGACAGATAACTGACATTTACTCGGTGTATGGAGAAGAGGGTATCGCCAGATGCATCGAGAAAAAGCTTTATGCAGTGTGGATGATCTTTTGATTTGTGGGATAAATGCTGGACTCCGTACACAAAATTACCGAATGAATCAGTGAAACCTAGAACACAACCGCTCTCAATTGCCTTGTGTTTCTTGGATGCAAAATAATCGAATGGGATTTGGAAATTGGCCTGGAATTGATTCTGATCGGAGGCTATGGAGTTTTCTTCCATAAAATAATTCAGTTAACAATGGTTAATATGTAAAAAATTATGGGAAAACATGAATAAAGATGTAGAGGAATGAAGATGAAGGAGAGAGGGGATGATAAATTCCGACAAAGTATTGGGGCCCGAAATGGAAGAAAGCGTGTTATTTGGTGGCGGCACGTGTATTGACTTCGTCTGTAAGACTGTAACTATAAAAGTATACGACGACAATTATGATTATGCCCCGTTTGGTGCACATTATTTGAGAAAATAATACATTTTTTTCATCAAATCAGTCTATAATTTTTGACTTCAACACTTTAAGGTAGGACTCATGATGTGATGTTTAAAATGCATTTTTGTTGAAAAAATGTGGAACAAACGGGCTAAGGAAACGCAATGAAATTCGTGAGTCAACTGATTTAAAAATGAGTAATACTAGTTAACTTTATTGGGTCAAATATTAGTTTGGAAAATGATATATGTACACATCATGAACACAATGAAATTCGTGAGTTAACTGATTTAAAAACGAGTAATACTAGTTAACTTTATTGGGGTCAAATATTAGTTTGGAAAATGCTATATGTACATCTCACAGCAGAAGATATACACAATGCATTACACTCCTCTCACATAGAAGATGACCCATAAATATTTTATTATGTGTGGACCCCCTTCACCTGAAAGGGGTGTAATACGATGTGTACACAATTTCCTATTAGTTTAGTAGGAAAGTGATACATATATATAATTGTCTATATAATGGTGTCCATAATTACACGTGGCACTAGATCCAACCTTTAATTCAAATCTCACACTTGCACATCAACAATCGGATGATTGCTACATTATATTATGGACACCATTATGTGCAATAATTATGTACATGTGGATTTTTTTTAGTTTAGATGGCATTATATGAATAATACTATTCATATTGAACCTATTAAGTGCGATCAATTAGGTTGGTGTTGAATAATATTATTTTTGTAGGATACATGCCAACTTTTTTAACTTTGATTTAAAGTTGATTTCATATATTGTTTTGTTTTGATATAGGGGTATAACTCATGTAACTTATGAAACATGAAGTAAAATTTATGTACAATTTATTCAATTAACTTGTCAAGTGTCTATCACATAAACATTCTATTTGCAATGTACAATATTCAATTAGTTTTGACTGACGAAAGTTAATCCATGTATGAATAGAACACAAAATTATGAATTCATATATGATTTTGATACAAAGCTAACTTTGTGTATGGCCATTGAAAGTCGACTTTATTAATGTTTTTGTTAAGAAAAATAACGAAATGCTTTGAATGTATTTAAGCAAAGCTTAGACAAGTCTAAAGTGAACTTCTATACTATTTCCCATTCATGGATCATAATCATAATGGTAGATGAAAGCCGAGCATCTTCGTGTAGTCACAATCTCTAATTGGACTTCAAAATTTAGCTTCAAGATTCTTATTGCACTATTGTAAGTGGCATAATGAATTGATTTGGTTTTCAAATTGGTCATGTGGTAAGGATGATGTTTCCAGTTTAACCAAGTTAGTAGAGAGTCCAATAGGACGTCTAAAAGTATTAGGATAAACACGCGATTTTGATTAGAAGTTAAGTCAACCTAGTAATCTATTTTGAGACATTTACTGTTATAGACATGGATTAGACAATATTTATGTCATCTGACTACGCCCAAAGATTAACGCGGTAATTGTAGTACAGCTTTAAAATGTCGTATCTACAGGAAGATGGAAAATTATTAAAGGATCAAAAGTTTAGAATTTTTGTCGCGATTTGTGTGAAAATAATTTGTCAATTGGAATAAATTGAAGTAAAAGTTTAATATTAACATATGAAATAGTGAATCGTCGGAATTCCCTCAATTAGATTGGTTCAATCAATGTCAATTTTTGCATCAAAATACTGAATTAAATGTTTTCATCTCAACACTTTAATTGGAAAAATTAACCTTCAAACTTATTCAATTCCACAATAATTCCCCAAACCTAGATTTCTTTCATAAAAAAATTTCACAATAATCCATTGAAATCAGATCCAAGAGTGATATATATACATCAAGCATATAATGATAAAAAAATCACACCAATAAGAGATTTAAGATTGAAATTCAATAAGTACTTCAATTATTCGATGAAAAAACGTGATTAAATCCATGAAAATTTAATACAAATTAAACCAACCTCAAAACATGTTCATAAGAATAAGAAATCTAAATTTAAAATTGTTTAAAAATGAAAAAACACATTTAAGCAAGAAAAGACATGAAAATTCTCAAATCTAACCAAGTTCCTTCGTGGCTTCACCAATAAGTTTAGTTCTCTATAGATTTCTTGAGCCAAAAATCAAAGAAAAGTGATAGGAGATGAAGAATAATCATATTCTCCAGTCTAGGGCTTAAAATCGTGTGCTAAGTTGCTTCTAAAAGAGGTTGAATCGAATAAGGAAACTAAATTTTCGATTAGAATATTCTGTACGATTATTTTCAGTATTTTGACCATAACTTTCTCTCTCGATATCCAATTAAGTCAATTTAAAATGCACTGGAAAGCTAACACAAAAGGCTACAATTTTGGTAGAAATGACTTTTTCCAAATTCTGACGTTTACTAGGTCAAACATGGACTTCAAGCTCTGGATGAAAATTTGGAAAATCTTTATACGGTCGGAATTTGATTTGTGAAAATATTATGGTAATATTTAAGTTATTTTCATTTCTAATTGCACCCAATGGACTCCTAGCATTCTCAAATCATCATTCCATCGCCCGTCTTATCTCTAGATTATTTGCAATTTGGTCCCTGAACTTTCATTTTCTTCCATTTTGATCCTTTTTCGTTATTTTCTTCTAAATTTCACATTTTCTACCAAAATGCAACACAAATCAAAGTATAAGTATAATGAGTACATTTTTGTATCAAATAATCACACGAATACAATAATTAAGATGAGAAAATATTGTGTCTAACATTCTTATCATCATCCTTATTGAGTCATAACTTCATAGCCACTTAAGCATGTTTAGGAAGTGTTTATAAATAGTTTAAATTATAAATAGACAGAAATAAATGATGAATAAGTAAATAGTATGTATGTATGTGATAAAGTTAGCCAAACATGGGCCAAGTCTAGCAACATATAACATTTTGTTAATCAATGCTTGACATACAACATAAACTACAAATTACAAAATCTAAGGACCATTAAAGTTTTTGTGTGTGTAATTGTATGTTCTGCATAAATTCTTTGGTCTAATCTAACTCTTGAAGTCCCAGCTTCAAAATTCAGAGTGCTTTATCACCGAAATTCACACAAGGCTAGACACCAGATATTCCACAATTTCAGTGAAGAATTCTCTAAAATATCCACGGAACTCATTCATGATGATAGGGAAAACAATGGAAATTATCCCACACAAATTACCAAGGAAATTTTCTAACCAACATCTAACAGTTATTACAAGCCATTCTGGTCACTTGTCATGGATTTCCATAATCCAGCTGTGCAAAAAAATGGGAAATGCACTTTAAATGAATGTCCGATTTATGAGATATATAAGACCTGCTCTTCATAGAAAGATTTGAGATTTGCAAGATCGGTTGGATCATAAGATCCTTTTCTATTGTATAGAAAGGCATGGTGCTATAACCTTTTTGATTGAATCGGATGTGACATTGCTGATTTGATAATAGTTGCCCTTTCTTTTGCTTCGATAATAGAGATTACAGCAGCAATATGCATCTTTCTATAGACACTGACTAAAAGAAACAAAAAAATTCGTATTGAGATCAATGGCGACACCAATTTGATCGGGAAGAGAGAGAGGAAAAGGAGAAAATGTCGATAAAATATGTACTTTTTTTTTTTTGGGCAAAATTCTTTAGGCATTTATATTCTACATCACTCTCACTAAACAAAGTAAAAATCCACAATCAAGATTATTGCAACTTTTACATCATAAATGAAACACAGAGCAAAAATAAAAATCAAATACAAATGAATTACCCAAGTTGAATGCACAAGAAAGGCCCATGGTATCCTATAATTGATATTGAGTAATGATAGGGTGAAAGTGTTCTTCTCACAATGATGGTACCAAGACAGGGATAGATTGCAAAATGTCCATTGACATGTTGAATTATGGGCCCGTTTAATTGTAAAGATGGAATTTGGGTGGAAAGAAAACGAATTGAAGGGAATTGAATTGTTTAGAATTTGTTTTGGTGGGAATTCCCAATTAATGATATTTGATTAGTATAATTTTTCATTTGAAAAATGTTAAAATAAAAGTGTCTTTTGATGGTAATTTGACTTTGTTTTTCATGAAAATTGTCAATTTAAGGGATATTCACTTCTACAATTGTTCCTATAATTTTTTTCCATTGCAAAAAAAAAAAAGAACAAAAAAAATCCCAAAATTATCTATATTTTGATGTTCGTTTAGCTTTGTTTTACATGAAAATTATCAATTTAAGGGATATCCTCTTTTACAATTATTCTTAAAATTTGTTCCCATTGCCACCAAAAAAAAAAAAAAAAAGGTGGAAAACCAATTCTCACCAAAAACGGTGAGAATTGGTTTTCCACCAAAATAAGGAAAATGCACACGTGTGATGCTTACATTATTGAAAAAACACAATCCATTACTAACAAAAAAAAGGCTTATATTAATTAAAGTAAATTCACGGTGAATAGGATAACAATGGAGAGACAACGACGTGATGTCTCATACCGTAGCCCAATGGCAAAACTTAATTCCAATGACAAACCTTTACAATTTCCTATACATGCTGGTCATTGGTACCCATCTTCTTTTACTTCACTGTCTTTTTTTTTTTTTTTTTTACACATCTTTGACATCTTGTAGTCCATCTATAGGAAGGTTAATAGAGCGATGTCATCAATTATCAAAACAAGGAACATAATTGGAAGAATCTGAAGGCATTGAAAACTAACCAGCATCGTCCTTGGTGAAGTATAGGAGAGGACTGATCCTGAATACATTCCAGAAAAAGCCCCATTTTCTATCAGTACTCACATTTCTGAAAACAAGAGCAAGTTTATCTGTCAAATTGCAGAAGAAATTGATGAATGAGGAACACTGTGATTCGAATAGACACAATAATGGCACCTTTCATCTGGTCCATAACATGCAGAGTCTCAGCCTTAGCAGGAATTTTTAGCTGACGATCTGTTACAAGTTCCACCCCGAGCATCAGACCTCTTCTCCTCACATCTCCAATAACTGCACAAACCATACAAATAATCAAGAACTAATTATCTGAGGAAAATTAAATAAAAGATTAACACATTTCAGCTCTTGTTGTCTTCCAAGTACATAACATAAAATTGAAACCATAGTAACTACGATTAACTAGTTCCTTTGCATCCAGTGTCCAGGATACCCCTTGGAGTAATACGAACTGCAAAAAATTCCATAAGCATTTACAACATTAGGAAAGAAGACTTACTCTCGTATTTCTCCTTCAGGGAATTTAGACATTGCTTCAGGAGCAATCCCACAACGAATGCATTATGCTGAAGGTTTTCTTTTTCTATTACTTTAAAAACAGCATGCCCAACAGAAGCATATACAGGATTACCACCAAAGGTATTGAAATAACTGCGGCGAGTCAAGACCTTTGCAATCTCTGGAGGGTAACCACAGCGCCAAGGGGAATTCCATTTCTGATGCCTTAAAGACCATAGCAGAAGAAGATATATTATGTGCAACACAAAGCATGGTTCATTTCTACAAAATTTTATAGGGAAAACAAATAACAGTCCTATGACCGAACTTATTTTCCAAAAAAACAATATCACGTTCACGGCATCATATAGAATTTTACTGGAACGACATCTGTGCAGGGGTTTTGGACAATGATCTAAAAGTTCACATCAAAAGATCTCAAAGAAAATCCGGCAAACAATAGACAAGCAAGAGGAAACTACCTTTGCCATCGTATCAATATCAGACATAATCCCATGGGGCTCAAACCCCCAAAAATGGCTTCCAATGCGAGCAAAACCTGATTGGACCTCATCAGCTATACGAAGTCCTCCAGCCTTTCTAATGGTGCTATAGACAGCTAGCAAATATCCTAGGCCAACTCCATAATTCCACCCACTCTCTGTCAAGAATACTGCTCATAATTTGCCCTTGTTTGAGCCCCATAAATCCATCAAAATACATTTTTCAATGGTGATGATTTGAACCCATTTCAACCAAACATATTTCAATAAAATAATATTACACTTAAATCCAAAAGTTTTTCTTAATTTTTAACCACAAATTCTACCATCATAATACTATGCAAAATGCATTTTTGAAAGAATGCTTCAATCCATCTGAACCAAAGATGCCTCTATACTGGTCAAGGTTTTGAGCACAGTGAACTCCAGTCTATCGTTAACAGAGGATAAAAATGGAATCAAATACAAATAGAAACAATTTCCAATTACAACACTCAAAAAGTCTTTCATAAGAAGAAAGTAAGAAGCCAAATCTTGGTTTCTGAAAATAATAATTTTTCTAAATTATGATTATCATCCAACTTTCTAAATAATAATTCCTGTGTTAGGGCTTTTTTTTTCGTCCAGAAGCCGCAATATGCAACTCTCAGTAGTCCAATTCGCATAAGAACATACATTGTCATAAAGACAAGAAATCCACAACTAGTTTGTCAAAACTTATTGATTATTATAAAGTTGTTATATCATTTATGTTGTAACCATATCATGTGGATGATCTGTACTAAGTGCACATAGTACAACCTGAACACTCCTTCAGTATAGGCACCATAAAGTCTCCGACTTATAACAACACTGAAACAGATTCCTATGTAGGAGAGATATGAACGACATTAAATTTGTAGCTACTTTGGGCCGTGGCTTCCATTGTCCTTGCTGCATTGCCATGATATATGTTCCTAATTGAAATAACATCGTGACAACCTGTGTACAACCGTGCCATCAACAAAGCTAGCTCATTAGCCTTCGTCCTAGAATTTGTAAAGAAAAAAACCTAACAAAATAAACCCAACCCAATCAATTAAGATAAATTACAAATACATCTGATGCTACAAAAAGGTTATCAAGAAACAATTTAATAAATGAATGAACCTTGAGATCCCCGGAGAGATTTGATGCAAGAGCATCAGGAAAATCCACAATAGCATGACTTAGGTACAAAATGGCTGAATGCTAAAGGCGTTTTGTTTAGTTAACAATTGCATCCACTACTACAGTATGGCAGTGCCCACAACACACAGTGGCTATTCCTCCAAAAGCGTCCAAATATCTCCTACCTTTTCATCAAACAAATACTGCATTTTCCCATCAATCAAATATAACTGCAAAAAAACAATAACACATTTTTTACCACCACACCATCAAATAAAAATAAAACAATTCAAGCCCAATAAAGAAAATTTTACTGGGTCATCGTAAAAATGGAAGATGGAGGGGCTAAGGAAAGCTTTTCATTTCTTGATGATTTCATCGGCGGAGGGACAAGACCGGTGTAAGGCAGAGGAGTATAGTCGAAGAGGGGTATTTTGGGAAGAATGGTTTCATCTTCTCCAACAGAATTAGCCAAAATCGAGAATGGTGATTGGATTACAGCCCGAGGTAAGTGTGAAATCCTAACATAACTGTTGTTTGTAGTTAATGACATGATGCTGCTTTTGAATGTGTTTATTCATAATGAAAACGTATTGTGATAGTATTTTGTGTAGCTTTTTACTTTAAAATGTTTTACAGTTTTTATTAGTGATGCGCACAAATATTTTAGTTTGTTGTTATCGTCACTTAAACATCGTGTGCTTCTAAGTGAAATTCAATGGTATCAATTGAATTTGTTAATTTTGTAACTATTTATGCTTATGCGTCAACTATATTTATGATCTCTAATTTCTATCAGGATTCACATGATAACACACATGCACACATATATAACGGTGTGTATCCGAATATTTGTTACGTTGAAATTTTCAGTGTACTTTACTCATTTGTGATGAACTGTCGAAAATTATTCATACAATTTGTCGTGATCGATAGTTGAACTGTCGACAAATAATGAAATATATTGTCTAATAAACTACTATGCCCATATTAATATTTCTACAAACTAATGCCTACATCTAACTTTGCTTAATTAATTATTTATTTATCAAGTGTCAACATGGAATAATGGGTTATCCAAATTCTCATATAATGGTGTATCTCTAATATCGAAAATTAATGTTTTTGGTGCATTATCATTTGAGACACTTTGAATTTGATCAACCTCATATGTTGTGTGTTACTGGATGTAGGGTGAATATTGTTATCTTTGTGATATGGGAATTTATTATTTTATCATTCATTATTTTCTCTGTCGTCTATTTACATTGTACACATTTCAATGTTCCCTAATAGTAAATGATATGTTCTTCCGACAAGTGCTACATTTAATATAAAAAAGTACTCATGATCATTGATTACCGATAACTATAAAATGAAACTTTATAATCAAATGGTAGTCATGATTTAAGATTCATATTCTGATGACGAAAGCGAGGGACAAGTTTTAAATGTCGACAACGAACGATGTGGGCAGTAATAAAATATAGTTGTGTAATAAGTTATGTATAGTCTATCTTTTTAGGGATAAATTTGGTAATGTCTTTACCAAAACTTCAACATAAACATGTCATTTATGTCTCTTGCATGTAGTTTTTTTTTTGTCTACTTCGGAACAAGTGTCGAGAATGATAGAAACAATCTGTCGAAAATGGCAGATGAACTGTCAAGCTGTGATAGTAATGTAAGTTGAGAATGTATTGGAGAACACTGTATGTTGAAAATACATTTTATGCAAGATATGTACGCTCCAGCAAAACAATAGGTTATAAGCATGATAAAAATGAATAAGGATAATGAAAATGATAAATTGCTGATTTTTTTTAAAGTACAGAAATCACTCCACTTCTAATATTGTAGTAAGTAATTCAATCCAATTTTATAATTGTCCTCCTCCAATAGTACGATTTAATATTAGTGATGTTTATCATTTATGCATTAATTGAATTCACTATTTACAACTTACAAACAAGGTGTTTGGTGGAGATTAAAAATAGATTTTTTAGTAGATTGTGGTAGCAGTTTCTGAATGGTGTGGTTGAATTATTTTCAATATTAGTAAAGTTCAATAAATGACAACATAAGGAGCAATAATGGCCGCAAACGATAACGACAACAAAACGATAATATAACTTGATAATGTACAATGCGATAGGGGAACATTAAACATACAATGTCAACAATGAAATCGAGCGATTGTTTAATAAATTGTATTTCATTGGGGGTTGAACAAATTTTTCTCTATGCGACACAATGAATCTCAAGTGATAACTCATACCTAAAATATTAGGATTGTAAAAGTGAGAATTTTGAACATTCTATATGTCGACATTTAATACCATCAAATTTGAGTTTTCGAATATTTAGATCCATATAATAGAAGAAAGGAAAATAAAGGGTTTAACAGTTTTCAAGTGTCGAAATCGGAAGTTAAATTATCTATCTCGATAGTTAGTAAATGTCGAGTTCGACAATTCAAATGTCTAACCCGAAGATTTCGACGACACTACTGAACAGTTGAATAGCCGTAAATTTCGAAGAAGCCTGAAAATCGTGTATTTGGTTCTTTGTGAAAAAACTATTGAAAACATTAATAGTGATAATCAATTCTCAACTACAACATCACAATATCTTCCTATAAATAAATAAGAAATAACTCAATACTTCATTAAATATCGAATCATTTACATTTTCTAGAGGATGCAGGTATTCTTTCCTAAAAAAATACATAAAAAATAAAATACATTAATGCATAAGAGATTCAAAAAGTTCGATTAAATATGACCATATTGTATTAAATATTTAAAGCAGTAAACTATGAGATGAAAATAAAAATAAATTCTAGTAGCTCACATTTGAGATTGATCAATAACTTTCCTTTTTTGATGATGGAATGAAGATAGTGAAGAAGAAGGTAGGGTTTGCATTCATACGTATTTATGTATTTTTTTAACTTTTCATCTCTTTTATTAACAAAAATTCATATTACACAATATAATAATCATATCTTAAATGTTTAAAATATATAGAAAAATCATCACATCACACTATTAATTGTATTCAAATCAAGTGTCACAAAGGGTAAAATGGACATTTTGCATCAAAAAGTGATATTTTTGGAAGAAATTGGTGCAAATGAGAATTTTTTGTGCATTTTTCATTTTAGTGATATTTATGTGAATTTCCATTTATATATTCATCCCACTGTGAATGCATTCCTAATACAATTTCAAAAATTTAAAAAGTCATTATATCCATCCAATCACTATCAACATTTAATCTGATTTCTACTTTTTATTTTCTATATTGTCGTGTTAGTACTTTAACGTTTAGTTATAAGGATAGCAAATCTCTTTTCTTGAATTAATAGGATTCTATCAAGAGTATATTGCTCAAAAAACAAAACAAATCATTCCTCAAATCATATGTTATTATTTTATTTTATTTTTCTTATAAGCTCATAATTTTTGTTGTTTGTGTTTTGGCTGATAATTTTAAGTTTATTTTCTTTTGTAATGTAAGAATATTTGGACAAGTATGAAAACTTATTTTGAAATTTCTAGTGCATTTTTATTTGTCAAACCAATACTTAAAAAAAATAAAAAAATAATATTCAATATTTTATATCATGAAAGAATTATAACTCTAATAATGTGTTCTTTTTTTTTTCTCTTGTTGAAGAGGATATTTAATGATGGGGGTTTATGATTTTAGATGAAGATGGTACTTTTTCATTGATAAATTTAAAATTTCATGTACAAGTATCGAGCATACTGGGTAAACACAAATAAATGTTCCATACAATTACACCAAGCATACTCGGGCAAACAAAAAGAAACAAATGTACAACGAATTCAATGATCCTGCACTAAGGACTCAAGATGAATCAAGACATGCGGATGCAAAGATAACATAACTTTATATACACGTGTCTTGATTCATTTCACAATACAATCCAAGCATGGGCTAAGGTCTCTAATGATCTTTCTACTTGCGAGAGCAATCCTATTGGCCTTGTTAAGCCATGATGTCCCACAAGTCTCTTTCTTTATTCACTTCAACACACTAACAATGTGGACATAGATTTTCTAATGCCAAGCCACTATCTGATCTTCCCCCATAAGGACGAAGTGAAAGAACACTTAAAGAAAATGTGCTGAATCGTTTCTGCTATATGTTCACAAAGAACACAATTGCGATCAATCTCCAAGTATTGCAATTTGTATGAAGATAGTATTTTACTATTATTAGAATCTTAGTTAAACATAGACTCTAAAAATATATAAAAAAAGGTTTAAAGGAATTTATGAAAATAAATATTAGTGAATGAAGTTAAAATGATATAT